TGCAGTTTCTTGGTTTTGCAATCCACTGTTTTCCAATTGTATACTATCACATCCCCAAATACACACAAACATGCCCTCTTTGTGCTAGCCGGAATGTAATGCGCTGCAAGGCCATTGTCCATTACTCTGCGTGATATGCTGCCAACTGTGTGATTCACCAGCCTATTGGCCAGTTCTTTCTTCCTCTCACTCTGTCTCTCTCTCTCGATTCCATTTGACTGAAATGAGCTGTATTGGCATGGAATGTAACAAAGTAAATACATGAAACATCTCTCACTCTCTTTCTCTCTCTGGTTTACTGATCTGGGGGCTGTGCAAGATGGTCACCACTCATCAGGACTGAGCCCATTATTTTAGTGCTTAAGAAATTACACTGATGCTTTTATGAATTTACAAGGGCAAGATGCTCTGTGGGTGAAGACAGTTTGATTATTACAAATTCAAATGTGTGTGTGTGTGTTTTTTTTTTTTTTTTGTATTTTTAAGAGAGCTCTGTCAGATAGGCTGATTGTATCAGAGAGCGTCATTGCTTTTATCTTGCTTTCATTTAACGTTAGTGCAATTGGGAAGTGTGCTTTTGTGCCTGTGTGTGTGGCAGCTGATTTGTTTGGCTAGCTGATGGTTTTGTCCTGTTTTGAGGTAATAGCTTATTAAAAGCAACATCAAAAGTATCTGTCTCTCTCTCTCTCTGGTTCTCCAACTCATTCTCTGCCTGTTGTTTTCTTTCCAGTGCATAGATGCTCATCTTCACACAATTCAGCACTCTAGTTTTCCTCAAAACATACTACACTGTTCTGCAGCATACAGGCAGGCAATGCCTGCACCTGCAGTATTTGTGGTCTTCTATTCCCTTCAGGACTCTGAAGGAAAAATAAGGAGTGCCTCTCTGTAAAAGCTGTGAAGTCTTGCCATTGGCACTAACAAATCTCTAAAGAGTGAGTCTACAGAGGTGTTAATATATTATAATGTTGCCATGAGATTATTATAAGAAAGAGTAGAATTCTCTCAGCAGAAAACAGAGCGTAGTATTGTACCAAACCACTTTTAGAATTACTTATTTTTTTTTTATTTATTTTTTTCATAGAATTGAATTTTGAAGATTCATCAAATCTGTTGACACCCTACTGAATCAGCACAGTTTCAGCTAGAATGTGATCATAGTTGTAAGTCAGTAGCATTATTTGTTGTCTCACAGTAGCGAGGTTTCCATTAGTCCTATAAGTTTTGACATTCTGGATCACCAGAATCCTTTTAAAAACGCCCTTGATCCGGATGATGATCTGGATCGGCACCAAAATCTAATGGACTGTTCCATCGGCCATACCCCACCTCTTCTTCAAAAAAAATTTCATTCCAAGCTCTTCATTACTTTTTGAGCTGTGAACAAACTAACAAATGCTGGTAAAAACATTACCTCCTTGGTGGAGGTGAATATGCAGACTGATTGGGGCAACGTTTGTCAATCAATGTATGTGCTCTCAGCAACATTTCTACAACAGAATCTTTAAGTAGCATGAAATGAATTTCTAAAACCCAACAATTTTCAGGGGAAGGGCCCTAGATGCTTCTTCCTAGATGCGTCTTCTCTTCCTCTTCTTCTAATTCTTCTTTGTCTTCTTCTCTTTCTCCTCCTTCTCCCTCTCATTTTAAAATGTTAACATCACAAAGTCAAACTGATGACATTTTTCTCCTGTGTATGTATAGTAGTGTAATGCTGTAACTAAACCTTACCAGAAGTGGACATGCATACAACAAGACCCTAGTTACGGTTTGGAAAATCGCTGTAAAACAAGTTCCAAATATTTACCAAGCGAAAGTAGCTTATAGATACCAATCCAATGCAACAACATCACTAGCATAATGTGTCCTACCACACAACTGAATCACATAATACTTGTGAAATTGGAAACAGCAGGAAACTTGAATGGTCATAACTTGTATTTTGTAA